TTAGGTTCGAACGTCATCCCAATCAAAATTGACATAATTGTTAAACATATACTATGAATATGTTAGAGTGTATTAAAAAATTACAATATAAAATTTAACATGAACTTTGGTCAATTAATTAGAATCATGCATTGTCATTGATGAAAATGTGCACCTAATTTACAGTATATATTCAACACAGATGATAAACTATGCCTATTATCATTGTCTTTTTGAGAAAGGAAGGTTTGCTTATGTTTTTGAAGGTGTATTGCATCAAGGCACTAAAATTGTAGTGGAGCACACCAAGGGACTAGATCAAATCAAGAATTCATTTCTAGCGAAAGTGGTACGTACCAAGAGGAAGCATAGATCATGCCAATTAAAAGGATTTTGTGTTGCAAAAACTATGCTTACGGTACTTTCTAGTGAGGGTACTTCTACCTAAAATTATTATTGCACCAGTTAATCCAATATTTCTACCACAAGTCATAGTTGTGCATTTTTAGGGATGGCAACGGGGCGGGGCGGGGGCGGGGAGTATGCTCCCGTCCCCGTTCCCGCTACCCCATCCCCATCCCCGCTACCCCTTCCCGTCCCCGGCGGGGAATTAAAAATATTCCCCATCCCCGTCCCCGCGGGGAATTAGGCAGGGACGGGGATTCCCCATTCCCCGTCAACTTCTAGTTAAAATGTTAAATAATTTTAAATTTAATAATTGATGGATTTAGTGTGACTGTTTGGTCATGATGCAAAGGAGAAGAAGAGAATTCGTGTTATTCATCTTGGGAGCTTTTTGATTACAGAAGAAAAAACGGGAAGAAGAAGTGAAGTCAAACAAGGAGGACAACTGCTATATTAACTGATGAAAAATCAGTTATAACAGAAACAAAAAAGAAAATACTAAAACACCCTTGGTCCACAAAGCAACATACACCATGCCTCAGCTCAACCAATCTGTTCAGTTGGCTTGATTATTCATCACCTTTTGATTGATTATTCATCACCCCCCCCCCCTCACCCCCGTAAGCTGGAGAATGAATGTCTTGAAGTCCCAGCTTAGCATGAAATATATCAAACAATGGCTTTGGCAAGGCTTTAGTGAAACCATCAGCCACTTGACTTTGTGAGGGAATGCTTAGCAGTTTGACAGTCCCCTTTGCCACTTGTTGCCTTACAACATGACAATCAATCTCTATGTGTTTGGTGCGCTCATGAAACACATAGTTTTCTCCAATAGCTATAGCAGACTTATTGTCACAAAAAAGGGGAATAGGATTGGCAAAGTGTGTCTGCAAATCTGCCAATAGATATAGGAGCCATTGAATTTCACAAACAGTGGAAGCTAAGGCTCTATACTCAGCTTCTGATGAGGACCTTGAAATGGTTGCCTGCTTCTTAGTTGTCCAAGAAATCAGAGAGTCCCCTAGGTAGATACAGTAGCCTGTTACAGATCTCCTAGAATCAAGGCAAGTAGCCCAATCTGAATCAGAAAATGTGACACCCCAAAAATCCACACTCCAATCCATGAATTAATTGAGTAATTAATTCTAATTCTTTTGAGGAATTGATTCCTAAAATCCTGATTTTTAATACTCAAGGACTAGTATTTGACTAGTCAATCTTTAAGTTGTGTTGTACCTTGTGCTTAGAGAGGAGTTCCCTTGTTCCTTACACTTTCTAAGGGTTAGTAAGGTAGCCTTGTCTTTTCACCAAGAGTTAGTATTGTATCCTAACCTAGAAGACTTCTTCATTTCATTCCTTACAATTCCTAGAAAAATATCTCTACCTTCTCTCTAGAATAGAAGTGTAGCTTATTCTCCAAGCCAAGTTGAGACCCTTGTCAAGATTCCAAGTTTTGCTTCCAAGATTCAACCTTTCACCTATTTGGGCATCTAGAAGGGTAAGATCTAAGCTTGTCTAGTCTTTTTGGTTCCATCTTAGTTGTCTTTTTCTTAAAGGTGAGATCTTTATGATCTTTTGGTTTGATCTTGAAGTGGGTTTGAGAAGTAAGCCTTGTGGAGAGCTTGTTGTGGTGTAAAGTGAAATCTTTTGGTCTTCAAGAGGTAACCCATGCTCTACAAAACCTATTTTGCTTACCTATATGTGATTTCTTGGATTCTACTTGTTCTTTGCTATGAAATGTGAGGGTTTATGCATTTATCTTGTGATATTGCATACCTAGAGCTTGTGTTTAGGGTTCCTTTGTGCCATTGCTTGGTATTTTCCTTGGTTTAAGTCATTTTGTTGTGTTTGGTGAGATTTGGCATGTTTTGGACTTGAATTTGTGTTTGGAGAAGAAAATCCCCGAAGGGATTTGTTGTGGAACAAGTATGTTCCCGCGGGCGGAACGGCGGGCGGGGCACCACCCGCCGGCCTACCCGCGGGTACACAGCCTCGTGGGATATTGTTCCCGCAGGCGGGACCACGGGTGGGGCACTACCCGTGGGTCCACCCGCGGGGTACACGGTGGTGTTTGGTTCGGGATTTGTTCCCCATGATTTGGTTGTCTTGGTGTTTGGTCTTTTGGCTTCCCGATGTTCTTTTGTGGAACTATTTGAGTGTCTTCTTGGTGTTTCGTAGGTCTAGAACTATATGGTAGGTATCCATGTAGGACTTTGGTGTCTTGAATCGTGCTAAGTGTTCAACATTGTGTTTCGTTGGACCAAGAGGTGTCTTGTGTGTTCCTCGGAACTATCTTGAGTTTCTCCGTTGATAAGCATGCTTGTTTGTTATCTTAATGCTAGCGTGTGTGTTGTTTGTACCTTCCGATTGGTTGATGATAACTTGTGTTATTCATCGTTGTTGTCGTTGGGCTGTGACCCGTTCCTTGATTGAGTATGTTTCATACCTTCGTTGTAATCCGTTGTTTGACTCTCGTGTGAGTGGTGGTGCGTGTGTGGCTCTACCTGGATTGCACGATTAGTGGTATGGGACACTAGTCACCAAGGTATTGCAGCGGTCCTCGTAGTGGCCGTGACGTGATTATGGAGTTGTGGCCTGAGTGATGGGTCCACGTGATTGGGGGATAACATGTGTTATCCGGGCATGTGTTGCCGTGATTGGTGGTGGTTCGTTGGTGGTTATAGGTGGGGGACGACGGTCCCGGCGGAATAAGGTTGGACTTGGCTGTACAGGGGATCCTGGAGGTAATGGTTGGAAAGAAGATACAAGGTTCGGGGTAGCCATAAGGTTGGAACAGGGCATAAGGAAGGCATACCAAACTCGTGATGGGTGATGTTGCGAGGGCTTTTAAAGCCGGTGTTGTGTGATCTTCTCTCGTGACGTGTGTAGTCACGGAGGCTTGTGGTGTTTTGGCATGTGTTGCCGTTGGGTGAGTCTTTATCCTTGTGTGTGGTTAACCTTTGTGGTTGGGATGTGTTCCCGGTGTTATCCTTGTGAGTGGTGAGTCTTGTTTTGTCTTTTGATCTTGGTTTTTGACTTATATATATGTATTTCGTTTCGAAAATGCACTAGTACAAAATAGAGCAAAGAAGCATGATTTTAGGCTACCCTTCTTTAAACAAGGGTAGTGTATTGTTTTAAAAAAAGAGGACGGTGGCATAATTGTAAATAAATGAACAAGAAACCACTACCCTTTTAGTAAAAAAGGTAGCGACTTTCTAAAAAAAAAAGGACGGATGTACTTTCCGCTATCCTTGCTCGTAGAAAAGGCAGCGACAACCAGATCTGGAAACAAAAAAAAAAAAAAAATTAAAATGAAACCCTCGATCGCTCTGACACCTCTCAGCCAGCGTAAGTCACATCTCCTCAACTCCCCTCACCAAACCACCACCGTCGCCCTCACCACACCTCCGCCGTCGCCCTCACCACACCTCCGCCGTCGATACCACCTCCATCATCCTCCCACGACGCTGCCGACACCAAGCTAAGGGCTCCATCATCCGCCGTCTCCACCACCGCCGCGAGTTCCACCGTTCTCAGCGGCTCCGAACTGAAGCCAGCCGCGAGTTCCACTGTTCTACGATTTCCACCGCCGCCAGCTGCTCCGATCTGCCGAACTGAAGCCGTGCAGGTAATTTTTTTTTTGTTTTTTTTTTTTGGTTAAAATTAGTTTTTATAATTATGATTTTAATAAATATTATATTTGTTAATTTTTATTTTAAGACTTTGTTGAACTGTATTGCTGATGATGATGTTGAACCGTAGTATTGCTATTATCAATATAATTTAATGTATATCTTCAATAAGTTAACCTATACTATCTAAAATGCCTAAAAAAGGGGTTAATGATGATGCCGATTTATCAGCTGGTTTGGCAGTATATTCCAGCAGCCCAGGTATCACATATCTATTGTAAACAAAGATATAGATGGTTTTGTAATTAGACTAAATTTGTTCAATGTATTGAAAGTTATTTTTTTATTGTATTATTTCTGAAAGTAATCAATATATAACGTGTTAAAATAGTCCAATATACTAACGTGGTAAATCCACTGGGATCACTAATTAGTATTCCTCCATGTCCATCTGTTTCCTTACGTTTTCTTATGAGGTTCACATGATATTTACATTTTGCATCCGTTTCACATAGTATTTATGTTTTTATGTTACATTAAATATTTTTACCTTGAAGAACTTTCTGGTTTCTACTTGTTGGAATTCCATGCTTGAATGTGAGTTCTATTTTCCATTCGAGAGGAATTATATGCCCTCATTTTTCTGTACTGGTAAAGATGTAGTCATATGATCAACAGTGGACAGTTGTGGCATTTTATGCCAATATGCTTGTCTTTTTCCCTTTATAGGCTTGCCTTCAATTCTGATGGTATTTTATAGTTTTGGTGTACTCCATACAAAATTCAGATTTCAAGTTTTCAACAATTCAAGTCTTCATATTACCTCTTCCATAACAAATACTCAGTTTTACTTTTATCTATCATTCTCAATGTTGAAAATTTATGCATGAAACTCTGCTACTCATGATATCTAAGCACTCGCTTAATGTTGTCTACACTTAATATAACAAGGAACAATTTGCTGTATATGTAGTTGTGCCAATGTGGCCTGAAGGGGACCCCAAGTCAGCTACCGTGCAAGAAATTCTCTATTGGCAGGTAATCTGGCTCTTGTTTATTATGATGGCTGGTGACCTTTTTGTGAGGAAATGCTAGAATTGCTGCTGGGGAGAAACAATTTGTTTATTGTTAAGGACAGAAGGGTATATTGAAAACTAGTTGCTCTTAAATGTACTCAATTAAATTTTGATTAAGTCACAGTTCTCTACCTAAAAAATAGCATTTTCTTTGTAAATTTAAAAAATGAATATCTTTATTTGTTTTGGAGTACAGGGAACAATTCAGGAAAGAGTACAAGAAAAAGCATCCTAAGAACAAATCAGTTGCTGCTGTGAGTGATTTCTCTGTTTTGTTTGTTGTGTTTTTTTGTTTTCCATACAAAAAATTGTGATTTAAATTTCTAGTGGAGTAGTAATAATGTTTGGAAAATAGGTTGGTAAAACTGCTGGAGATAAGTGGAAGTTCATGTCTGAAAAGGGTAGATTGTTTGCTATTTGGTATATTTGCGGTTGGGTTCATCATTTTAATGGGTTGTGGAGCATTTTTAATGAAAATATTTGAAATTTAGGAGAAAGCTCCCTACATTGCTAAGGCATAGCAGCGCAAGGAGGACTACAACAGACAGATGGAAGCTTACGACTAAGAAAAGGTTAATAAGTTTTCATATATTATTCAATTCGTATAGTTATCTTGGTTGTCTTGTTTCTTTAGTATGTTTTATGTTTGAAGTTTGAGTCTTTCTTGTGATTGACAAATAGGAGGGAGGTGATGAGGAAGAGTCTGAAGTGAATCATGATGAGGAAGACAGCGGTGGAGAGGTATGTTTCATTACGAGTTTTAAGTACAATAATATTCAAAAAAAAGTACACTATACATTGTATTTATTTATGATCGATCTATGTGATGAATGTAGCATGCTAATCATATTTAAAGATCATGTGCTTTATTCCTTCTTTTTATACATGCATATATACTTAAAAGTATAAAGTATCTATTATCATATGCAAATTTATTAGTTAAGTTTTAGTTTTGGTTGCATGCTCATCACCTTTGAATAAAAAATTATTTCATTAGGAATAAGTGATCTTGCTCCTTTACTTTTACTTTAGTATTTGATATAGTTTGTCGATAATATTGTGTTAATATGTAGTGTGTTGTGTGTTGATAATATTGTGTTAATATGTAGTGTGTAGTGTGTTGTGTGTTGATAATAGTGTTAATATATAGTGTGTTGATAATATTGTGTTTTGATAGTTTATTGATAATAGTGTTTTGATAGTTTGTTGATAATATTGTGTTGATATGTAGTGTATGAATTTCGTATAGGATTTTTAAAAAGTTGGGGGATTTAAAAATAAAATGATTTTTGTTTTTTTTTTTTTTAAAAATAATCCGCTACCCTTCTTTTGTAAGAAGGGTAGCGGATGCTTTAAAAATATAATAATATTCGCTACCCTTCTATACAAGGGTAGCAGAAAGCTCATGACTTTCAGCGTCCCTCAAATCCGCTACCCTTGTACAAGGGTAGCGGATGACCATTTACAAGGGTAGCGAATGTGCATTTCTGTACTAGTGATGGTTTTTATATCTTATATCTACCTATTTATGATGTTAACGGTATTGGTGGGTTACCAGCATTATTCGCTGACCGGGCGTCGTCCCAATGTTTATCTTTGTATCTTTCAGGTGGTGTTTAGACGAAAGCGATGTCTAGAGCCTGGTAGCTTAGCACCTTTGTGTTTTTGTGGCCTGTGCGCCAATGTTTTTAGACTGTTTAGATTGATGTATTGGGATAGTATTATACACTTGCAGATTGTTGCCTTAGCGTTACCTAGTGTGGTATACGTGGCATAACACCCCTTTTTGGATTTCTTTTATCCAGTTTCCGTTTATCTTCCGCTGTGCTAGTTTTGTTGTTAATCTGCTTGTGTTAGGGCTTCAATTGGGCCTTGTTTTTTTTTTTTTTTTTTGGGGGGGGGGGGGGGGGTGGTGTTACAGAAAATCCCTTCAAGGTTAAATGGGAGTTAGCAGTATAGAACAGACCTTTCCTTGGTGAGGCTTTGAGATATCTCAAAACCCTATGGGCTGCAGCTAGGTGAACATCCCTGGGCTTATCCACATATTGACTTAATTGCTGAACAGAATAAGTGATGTCAGGTCTGGTGTTGGTAAGGTATAAGAGCTTGCCAATTAGTCTTTGTATGTCTCAGGGTTGTCAAGCAATGTGCCATCAGTAATAGTGAGCTTTGATCCAGTGACACAAGGAATATTAGCAGGCTTTGCATCTAGAAAGCCATTCTCATGCAAAATCTCCAAGGTGTATTTCCTCTGACATAAGTTGATGCCTTTAGTGGATCTGCAAGCTTCAATGCCTAAAAAAAAATTAAGGCTGCCAAGGTCCTTGATTTTAAATGAAGCATCTAGCATTTGTTTAAGCCCTTGTATCTGAACAGAATCATTACCTGCTACAAGGATATCATCCACATAGACAAGTAAGGCAATGAAGGAGCTTGCTGTAGTCTTAGTAAAAAGAGAAGGATCAACAGCAGACTGTTGAAAACCATCAGCCTGTAAGGCCTTAGTAAGCTTAGCATTCCATTGCCTACTAGCTTGTTTGAGGCCATATAGAGATCTGAGCAACTTGCACACCTGATTAGGCCTATTCCCTTCAAACCCTGGGGGTAAAACCATATATACTTCTTCATCAAGATCTCCATGTAGGAATGCATTGTTGATATCAAGCTGTTGAATGTCCCAACCTTTAGCCACTGCCATAGCTAGAAATGTTTTGATGGTGGTCATTCTTGCCACTGGAGAAAAGGTCTCTAGGTAGTCCACACCAAGTTGTTAAGTGTACCCTTTAGCCACTAACCTGGCCTTGTACCTCTCAATGGAACCATCAGCCCTGTGCTTAACCTTGTAGACCCATCTACATCCAATGGGTGATTTGCCTTTGGGTAACTCTGTTAGTATCCAAGTGTCATTTTGAACTAGGGCCTCTATCTCAGACTGCATTTCCTTCCTCCACTGTTCATGGTGAATAGCCTCATTATAGGATTGTGGTTCAGGTGTGGATGTGATAGAAGCCACATGGGATTTATGATTGGGATGCAAGTGATCAATAGAAATGAACTTGTGGATAGGGTGAGGAGAGGTTCTCAAACCTGTTGTGTTGCTTAGCAAGGTTTGACAATAATAATCATTCAGCTTTGTAGGAATAACTCTCTGCCTTGTAGATCTTCTAGGTTGTGAATGTTCAACTTCATCTCTTGGCAGGCTGTCACCAGAGATATCAATAGAGATAGTATCATTGGCCAATTCATCATTTTTAGGCACTGACTCATGCTCAGGGACTAAAACCAGGTCCTCAGCATTATCATTGATTGGTAAAAAGGGTTCAGGTGGCCCATCTCTTTCCACTGCAGGTTCTCTAATTTCAACTTCACATGGAATATGTGTAGAGCTTGTAGGCTGCCAGCAAACTGATCTCTCCTCAACACAAGTGGGAAACACAGGCAAGGGGGGATTAGGCTCTCCAATGGGATGATGTTCTGAATCTTGCCCTTTAAAAGGATATAAGAGCTCATAGAATTTAACATCCCTTGAGAGGAAAATGTTCTTATCAACAATATCATATAAAATGTAACCTTTTACATTTGCAGGAAAACCCAAAAAGATACACTTCCTTGCTCTAGGCTGCATCTTATTTCTTCCTTGTGAAATAGTTGCACCAAAACACAAGCAACCAAGAGGCCTTAAGTAATCATAATCAGTGGCTTTCCCAGTCAAGACTTAATAGGGGATCCTTCCATTAAGAACTTCAGTTGGCAGTCTATTAATGAGGTATGAGGCATGTAACACACAATATCCCTAGAACTTTGTTGGCAATCCAGAATGGAATTTAAGGGCTCTAGCAACACCTAAAATGTGTTGATGCTTTCTCTCCACCACCCCATTCTGTTGGGGTGTGTAAATACAGGACTTTTGATGAACAATTCCTTTCTCATTGAATAAGGTGTCCATCATAAACTCTGTGCCATTATCAGTTCTAACAGTTTTGATTTTTGCTGAGAATTGAGTTGAAACATGATTATAGAAATTCTGGAAAACAGTCTTGACTTCTAACTTGTGTCTTAGCAAATGTATCCAAGTGAACCTACTATAATCATCAACAATGGTAAGGAAGTAATGTTCCCCTTTCAAAGTCCTAACAGCAAAAGGACCCCAAACATCCATATGCAATAGGTCAAAACACTTTTCAGTCTTAGAGGTACTAACAGGAAAGTTGGACCTTCTATGCTTGGCAAAATGACATGCATCACATACAAAATCAAGCTGTTTATGAAATGAAACAGGTTTTATACCATTCAAAAGAGGTATCTTATCAATGGGATAATGTCCCAGCCTATAATGCCACAACTCAAGGGTTAAGCTATTACACTGAGTATTGATATCATGAAACTTGCCTCTTTTCTTGATAGGAGGATGATTAATGAGATATAAACCACTCTTCGGGCTAGCAAAACCATCCATTGTCCCAAGTGCTCCCTGAATAGTGCATGGATCAGCTTGCATGACAACTTTGCATCCTGACTAATCAGTTAGCTTACTGACAGAAATGATGTTAAAGGCAAATGATGGGATAAGCAGCACATTATAAAGCATAATATTGTTACTGAGTCTAATCTGCCCCACATGAGTAACTTCAATTGTCTGATCATTGGGCAATTTCACAGATGTGTTGTGTACACTATGGCACAATTCAAAATAATCTAAAGAGCATGTTATATGATCTGTAGCCCATGAGTCAAGTATCCATATATCATGAGAGTTTAAGGCAGCATTGACATGAAGATAAGAAATAGGTTTACCTTCATTGTGGACTTCCACAGACTCTTTGAAGGCAGGCCTGATCCCAACACTTTTAACACTGATGGCAGCATTGCTTGAGCCCTGACTACTCTTGTTTTGGTTCTGCAAAAGAGACAAGAGTTTTTGGAACAAATCAGCTGACAAACCTGTGTCTGCTACTTGACTCACAGAGGCATTGGTTGACTGCTGATTATCTGCTGCTTGCTTGCCCTTAGATTTATAGCCTGGAATCCACCCTGGTGGATATCCATGCTTTTTGTAACGCTTCCCAATGGTATGACCACTCATACCACAAAAAATGCACTTAGGCACATTCCTTCCTGTATTATTAGGAAATTTCTTCTTGTTATTAGCTAATGAGACTGCCACAAGAGACTGATCTTCCACTATCTCATTTTGTATAGCATTAGTCTGCATGAGCTCAGTACATTTTTGATTGAGAGATCCTCTAATCTTCCTCTCAACCTTTAAGGTCATGTTAAGCACTTTCTCAAGATCTGGAATAGGATCCATGACCAATACTCCAGATTTGATAGCATCATATTCTTCATTCAAGCCTTCTAGGAATCAGATTATTTGATCCTCCTCTCTTTGCTTCTGCATCCTATTCATGAGAGTACACGAGCACCTGGGAGAACACTCACACAATAATAGAGGCCTTAGAATGTTCATTTGCTGCCAGAGAGCACTGGTTTTAGTGAAATATTCATTCACTGTCAATCCTCCCTGAACACACTTGAAGATTTCGTTCTGGATTTCGGAGATTCTGTGTGGATCGGATTGAGAATATCTCTTCTGGAGGACATTCCAGATGTCCGAAGCCTTCTCATAGTACATCACACTATCTGCGATGCTAGGACTCAAGGATTTCAGTATCCATGAAGACACGATCCGATTGCATCTCTTCCATGATGCAAGTCTCGGATCATTCCCTTCTGGAACTTGGACGGTTCAAATGGCGAAACCGAACTTGTTCTTAACCTCGAGAGCAATACGCATTGCTCTACTCCAAGGAGCATAATTGAGCTCCGTTAGTAGCAGAGACACAAGGCTCAGATTCGGATTTTCTGTGACATGGAGATACAGGGGATCGTCGAACTCCTCGATCCGCTGACTCTGATTTGCCGGTGTTTGATCCGAAGAGTCTCCTGCCTGCATTGTTGGATTGTTGTCGCCGGCTGCTTCCGTCATCACCACTGCGGCATAGGTCCGGTGACGCTCTGATACCATGATGGATTTAGTGTGACTGTTTGGTCATGATGCAAAGGAGAAGAAGAGAATTCGTGTTATTCATCTTGGGAGCTTTTTGATTACAGAAGAAAAAACGGGAAGAAGAAGTGAAGTCAAACAAGGAGGACAACTGCTATATTAACTGATGAAAAATCAGTTATAACAGAAACAAAAAAGAAAAGACTAAAACACCCTTGGTCCACAAAGCAACATACACCATGCCTCAGCTCAACCAATCTGTTCAGTTGGCTTGATTATTCATCACCTTTTGATTGATTATTCATCAATAATAAGAACTTTAAAATATAAGTCCTAATTTTAAAAATTAAAATACTATCTATCTATCTATATATATATATAGTTAATTACATATATAAATATAGTGTACTGTTAGAATAATTACATATAAATGCAATACTGCCACTATATATATATGTACTATATTTATATATGTAATTATACTAACAGTATATATATATATATATATATATATATATATATATATATATATATATATATGGGGCGGGGAGGGGTGTCCCCATCCCCGTTCCCCGAAAATCTTCCCCATCCCCGTCTCTTTCGGGGCAGGGATCTGGGATTCACATCGGGAACGGGGCACATTGTCATCCCTATGCATTTTTGAAATGTATGTTTACTTTTATTAAAAATTTGATAATCTTGTATTGATATACGCCATGATACCGAATGATACTTTGATAAATTCTGAAACACTAATTTAAAAATATACACATTGGGCATCAGACTATTCGCGTAATGCGCGTGTGATAACTAGTTATAATATAAAAAGAGATAATTCTATTTTTATCCAAGATTTATAAATGACGTTTCACTTTTAGTCTTTCTTTAGAACATTCTCTGTTGGTCCTTGAATTATTGTGGCATGAATATTTTTGGTCCTTCATCAGCAAACTATTTAAATATGGCAAAATATGAGAGCATTTCAATATATTCAGTTTTAAGTAGTGTTAATTTTTTTAATCCTAAATTTATATGTATCATTCTACTATTGGAGAGACTCAGGCATTGTG